TTGGGAGAAGGCGTCGGAGGAGGCGCCGGTGAAGATGCTCGTGATTTTGTCTCACGATTTGATTGTTTATTAAATAATCCGAATAAACTAGCTTTATATTTTTTGCTTGGTTCAGAGGGTGAAAGAGATGGTGAAAGAGATGGGGAAGTTGGTGACAATGATGATAATGGTGGCAATGTTCCATTTGATTTTGCTGTCGTTGATTTCCTGCCAGCCTCAGAATATTCATCATCCGAAGTAGTTTTGGAATTTTGAATCGGTGATTTTCTAGCTCTCGTTGGGGGAGGAGGAATTTTCGAAACTAACATTGGTAATCGTGATACTGTTGAGTTAGTTTCAAAATATGTGGAGGTACGCATCAAATGAGTAGGAAAGGGCGGTGGTTCTGATGACTCTAAATTGATGTCAGATTTAACCGGTTTTTGTTCAGCTGTTCGGTTACTTAAAGTCGATATCAGCGATGATGAGTTAACGTTATTGCTGCTGCTGCTGCTGCTGCTACTGTTACTGCTGTTGTTGTTGCTGTTGTTATTGTTGTTATTGTTATTGTTATTGTTATTGTTATTGTTATTGTTATTGTTATTGTTATTGTTATTGTTATTGTTATTGTTATTGTTATTGGTATTGGTATTGGTATTGGTATTGGTATTGGTATTGGTATTGTTATTGTTATTGTTATTATTGTTGTTGTTATCTTGAGATTTTATTTTTTGCTGATATTCCTTTGTGGAATTATTTTCTAGTTGTGGTCTTCGAGGTGGTGGAAGTGGATTTGGGCGGTGATTTTCTTGTGCACGTCTTAGTTCCTCCGACAATCTAGTAGCCTCTGAACCAGTATCCCATTGATTATTACCTGTCCTATCATTCTCGTCGTTGTTATTATTTTCAGAATTAGCAGCCGCGGCAAGTTTTTCCTTTCGTTTTTTCTCCTTCTTTTCGCGTCTCTTTCTTTCACGTCTTGCTTCCCGATCTTCAATTTTGGCATTACTGCTTTTTTTTGTTTTTCGACGAATTATAGTCTTTTGCTGTTGGCCTAACAGGGTAGAAGCACGATTATTTCCCGATGGGACAGCATAAGCACCACCCAGCAACGACATCATAATACTATCTTCCAATAATTGACGTCGTAATAGCACCGAACTCCGTTTTCCACCAGTTACTATTATTGAGGTCCGCTTTCGCTGAGATCCTACTCGTGACAATCGTTTTGGATTGGAAGATATTATTCGTGTGATACGCGGTGGATTAATTCGAGATGAGCGGTTTGAGGAAGTCGTTGCTTTAGGCAAAATCTTTGAATTTCGCCGAGAGATTTGAGGCAGTGCAGCTATTGAAGAACCCGGCTCCGAAATTAATTGGTGACTTGTTGCACGATGTGGAAGAGGTACTAATGTGGCATGAATAAGTTGCGGGGGATGAAGTGGCTTAGGGACCCAAGGAAACCGATGATCATACGAAGGTAAAGGAGCATTATCATCCTCCAAATCTGTAGGATCATTCGAGTAAGCGGGATTGGAGGTTGGTGCTAATTCGACATGCCGTAATGTGCGATGTGCCCCTCGTTGCTTTCGATACATCGTGTTCCCTGATCTTTTTAATTTTCGGTATTGAGCTGCTGGATGTGCATTAAAATATCTTTCATCGGCTTGTTCCCATCCTTTGGCAACCGTAGGAACATCAGGTTGCACTGCATTCGCTGCCAAACTTTTCCTTTTACCCTTCCCTTTTGACGTCGGCTTTTTAGGTTTATGTTGTGATTTTTTTACTTCATTATTATTATTGTTAGATTTTCCTTTCTTTCGTTCTCTGGTCCCATTTTTTTGTGAAATAGCTTTTGGTTTATTACTAGACTCATCATCATGTTGCTGCTGCTGATTATTATCATTTGATGAAGGTGTTTCAGTATGCAGCGTCTTCGATTTTTTTTCGGATGCGGATAAAGCATTCAAGTCCGAATCCGAGAATGAATGTCGATGTTTACTTTTCGTTCGTAATAATGTCATGTTTAGAGCTTGCGCAGAATTACGAAAATTATTTAAAAAAGTATCCCTGTTCGAAGATGGCAAGGATGAAGGTGATTGTATTGACGATCGTGTCGGTATTGTCGACGATTCATCTTCAGTTGCACTATGATATTCTACTACTTTTACTTTTGTGACTGTGATCCCCATGGGTGATAATGGAGGAGTACCAATTATATCCTGCGAGTCTCTTGAAGTTTGTGATGATAAATCGATATGCACCGAGTGATGGTGAGGATGAAGCGACCGTGTTGAAGAAGCTGTCGCTACTGTTGAAGATGTTGGTCGTGGTTGTGGTTGCGATAAAAATGAAGTTGTAGGTGTATTTGGGGTACTAGTCGTGGATAGGTGCATTATTTGTTTCGCAGCCAGTGCGGAGTCCATGGTGATGCTGCCATTCTTTTTATTGATAACGTCTTCTTCGGGTGATTTGAACTCTTGCCAGTCCAAATCATACATAGCATATCTTTTCAACGGAGATTTTTGTATAGGGTTCGTTGTTGCACTAGAACGTCTTACACTCCCATCGATTCCTTCGTATTCTCTTGAAGTAAATGAATGTGAAGCGGATTCACTTGATCGACGACGTCGGTGGCCTTCATCTGATGATGATAATGCAGTTGATGATGCTGCTATTTCACCTGAATGTCTTCCGAAAATAGAGCCCAACTTGTTCATCTTGTTTTGGTAATGATAGTAATGATAATGGAGGGTGTGAGAAGTGATAAGTAGATTATGATGAAGGATGTGTGCGCTAACGTGTGAATTTGATGATGCACGCGCTCACGAGCTATACGCGCGCAACTTTTTTGGCAGATTCTCGACAGTGCTTGGTGTGGCGGTTTTGTTATGGTGGGTGTAGTTTTTGTTAGACAGCTGTTGGTGCTGTTGTGACGACGTTACTGTATCCACAGACCAGCTACGGTAAAGTATTTCTGTAAATTTTTTTAAAAGAAATAGATGTTTTTGTTAAGGAAAAATATTTTTTTTATTATTCAAGTAGCGAAAACGAATCGTAAAGATGATGGCAAGTAAGATTGCAAGTTGGCTAACAGGGACTAAACTAGCGAACTAACTAAATAGCTAATAAAAAACGCAGTCCGTCTGTTTTCTGTATGTATGCTCGGCCTTTCTCAACTTTTCCAACCAATCTATGTATGCTCGGCTTTCTTAATTCTTAGCATATACTCCGAGAGTAGAGCAATGTCAGTCACGTTAACTCGATAAGATAGTTATCAATAAGAAACTACTAAAAGAGGCAATAAAGGGAAATAAAGCTAAATAGTCTCCGCCTACTATGTATCCTCTTTAAAGCCAGTCTAACGATTCATGGTAATAATGATAACAATATTTCCAAAAGCGCGAGAAAAAAACGCGTAAATAATACAATAGCACCTAGATATCATAAAAAAAGGATACGGAATTCGAATACGCACACGCCACAGAGAGAAAGTTAGTTGAAAAGATAAAAACGTTAAAATCGATCAATAAAAAGAATGAAAAAAGTTGGGGGAAGGGGAGATTAGAAGGTATTAGAAGTAGAGACAGAGAGGCCCTCGTGTAGATAATGTAGAAAGAATTTGATGCGTTAGGTGGGTAATATTCAATATTATACCAACACCAACAAATGAATTACACAACACAGGCACTATGCTGCTCTTGATGATGATAAGCAGCAAAAAATTATTTACAATTTGGTCGCTATTTACACAGATAAATAATAATAATAATAATAATAATAATTATTACATCTGCTGTTGTAATAGTACGCACGAGCGAGATATATATAATTTTTTTTACTCGAATCAAATCAGGTCAATGAATTAATTTTTGCTTAGTAGCAACAAATTATTGTTGTATGACATGCATACAACAATAATAGTAAAAATCCTAAAAACCCGTTGTTTTTTTTGGAATTACGACAACATATTGATGGATGACATTTATTAGCTTTTTATAAACACATTTAACTACTTTGTAAGCTCGATATGTGTATTTGTGTGTATTTTGAGATGTATGCTGAAACGAAATGTTTCAGTGAAAAAACCGAGTGAACAATTCAATTCTCTTAATTTTGATGCTTGCCAACAACATTTTTGAGAAAAAATATGCCTAAACTAAGGCTAATTAATTAATTAATTTTTTAATATGGGAAAATCGATCATTCGCAGGTACTAAATTTTTTTTGCAAATATTATTCATAATAAAATCAGCGATCGCGGCTTTACGAACGACAAAATTCGTTATTATATCAATTTAAGGTTTTTATTGGTTTTCGATGGATTTTTCTTAGTGACACCAATGAACTATTTCAAGACAACCTTCTGTCTACCACAAATAGCATTGATTTGCTTCTTTATAACCTCCATATTAATATTTCAATGGATTTTAGCATATTATTTATTTATTTATATGTGCATGTATGCATGTATACATGCATACATGTACATTATGTAACTCAACATTGTATTTCGCTGTAAGGGATTCAATACCTGATTTGTCATTATAAATATAATGTAGAAATTAAATGCATGGACAATTGTACGTACCAGGGATCTTTTGTGATGCAAATCGAACAAGATAGGCAATTTTCGATAACTTCCAAAATGCCAAGCTGGGTGCACCGAAAATATAATATCGTCTTATTATAAAGTAATATTGGATGAATTCGGTAAAATAATCATGTTTTTATTTATTTTCAATAGAGAAAATTATTACAGAAATATTACTAGATAATTATATTAATGATAACAAAAAAGTTTCAAGATTAGAATATACATTTTGTTTTAACCACCACCCACCAAATATTGTTGAGTATTTCATCGAGTTCTACTTTTCATCAAGACTCAAATAATTTATTCTTTTCTGTCAGCTCGCACGATCGTTCCTTTTTAAAAGCCTGTTCACGAGCCCGTACTTCTTTCATAAATCTCGCGCCTTCTTTGCTTTTCTCATTGACCCAAAATGCTTGTGCCGAAAGAGGAGTTGACATAAATTCTCGCCGGTTTCGTTCCACATCTTCAAGCCAATAATATTTACACTTAAATTTCATACACTTATTACCCGGATAAGGACTCGAAAAAGTTGCTTCGACGTAAGGTAGGCCAGAAAGAATCTTTCGACCTAAATCACCATTAAATCTTTCATCCTTGGCCAGTCGATGATTACTGATAGTCTTTTTGTCAAAACACGTATTGCATAATCGAACACGAAATGCCCAGTATACCTTTCGCCTTGTTTTCGCGCCACACAGTTGGCATCCCCGCTCTAGAGCCAGACACACATAGGAAATCTCGTCCATTCCCTCGGGTGGTGGTAAAGGAAGAGAACCAAGGAATTCTTGTCTCGAGGTTGACCAGATCTGTTGAGTAGTGACTGATTCTTTGAAAAATAGCTTATCACGATACGACCTACAAGTTCTCGAGAGTCTTAAAAGATCCTCTGGTGGTAGATATTTACATATGTGAATAAATATCTCTGTCGGAATTGAGGTTGCGAGACATACGCGTTGAGATGTAATATTGGTGTTGGAAGCGTCAATAGTTAATGTGGTTGGATCTTCTATTTTTCTTTTTTTATTTTGTTCGTTCTTGCCATAATCTAAATACCTTTTCTTTAATTTATTTGACATATGCGAATGCACATAAAATCAATATAAAATCTAACCAATCAGTCTTTATTTTTAGAATTCTCTTCACCTTATATGCGGTTCTGATGATACCACTGATCTGTTCAACGGCAACTTCGGGCGCAGTCAAATCCTTGATTTCGTGCATATTTATATGCACCATCTCCCTCTTATTCTTAATTCGAGTTGTTTTCGCTTGGTTTCTTTCTTTGGCAGCGACTAAACTGATTTCTGTAGCTTTGCGTGTTGAAGGTCGGATGAGACGCCACATTTTTTTTCAAGAAATTTCCCGGCAGTCTGTACGAATAAAGTAATTACAAATTTTATCGGGCTGTTAAAGTATTATAAATAGTATCTAATGTTAGAAACGGTTCACACGATATTTGGGAAAATTTGTAATGCAAAACACAAAGTACCGTTATAAAAATAAAGAATATGAAACAAGAACTTCAAGCGTCTTTATATGTTCTAACAGATTTTGGGAGAAGACGGTTGATATTCTACAACGTAAAATACGCTGTAGACTGCAAGGCATACACGCCAATTATTTACGTGCCTATTGCGTGAAAAAAATATATTTTCGAACTTACTGTTCAGGCGTAGAATTTCTAGTAACAACTGACAGTAATAACTATTATCACAGGAGAATTCTTGCACAAGAAACAAAAAAAGACGCGTCTAGATGTGCAGTGATTAATGATTGGCTTGCAACAAAATTTTTTTCAATCTTGGCACTAAAATCATCATCACGATCTTTAAATCAAGCAAATATCGAATTCATTATGGACGCGATCTGGTGGATTTAGAAGATTCTAGAGTAATTAAAAAAAAGTGGATAGAATAGACCAATATTTTGAAGTGAATACCACAATTAAGTAGGTAGAGAATAAAAGAGAAAACTCATGGTTGGTGAACTGGAAGAGACAGCGAGAATAGTGAGTTCTCTCTCAACGCTGCTGAATTTGAAATGTCTATACCATAGAAGATGAATTCTCTTCGCTGGAATGAAAATTTTCGATGAGAAAGGAAATTATACAATTAGGCAAGAAGGTCGTACAGGATTGGATGTATTTTTTGAAGGGATGGAGATCATGTTGAAATATCACAAATAATTTTCTAAGATGTGATATAAAAGAAAATAATGACTACGAAATGCCGATCTTTTTGTTACTACTGTAACAATATGCAACTAAATATTTATTTTTATTATAGAAATTCTTGATTTACAGATCTGCCAGAATTTTCACCTGTGAGCCGATTTTCATACCGTAAATCGCGGGGTCTATAGTAATCCCCCTTGTTCAAGAATTTAATTATTAGCAAATTATTAACTAAAGTTTTCAGGGTGAATTTAAATTTATTTATTTGTGAAACAGATATTTTGTTCTATTAAAAAAAATTGAAGTTTAAATTTCTTGGATTTATTACAAGGGGGGGGGGGGGGGGGGGACTATACACCGCGATTTACGGTACAATTGCGCGAATCATTTATCGTCCAACATGATAATACGGTCCCATTTGTTAGGAAACTCGTACAGCTTGCATATAGCAGATAAATATTTTTATGCTCGTTCTAACGTAATCGTAATCAAACAAATAATTATAAATTAAATTTTAATTGCAAGTTTCCCAGTTCCTCGGCCGAGCGAAGAACAGCCGAAATTTATTTATTATTGTTCGATTTGAAAATAAAATGATGTGTCGTTATTTTTAAATAAAAAAAATACTATTCAATAAATAAAATGACTTTTTTACGAATTTAAATTTATATCATCTATATCTATATAATAGTATTTCCTTAAAATGACCCATAATGGCCCGATGAACGATTCGCAATTAAATAAAGAACTCTAATCAAATGTGTGAAGACATGACACTAATTATGATGGATGATCATCATCATCCATCATCATTATAACCAAAATAAACATGCAACAAACCAAGCGCGCCTTTAGATAAATGACATTTTATTGTTCTTTATACTCTCAGGCATACGCAATTGATAATCTGAAAAGGAAAATATAGTCAATAATATTACTTAAAACCTTGCAACCTTTATATCTAACAACAAAAAACCGAAAATTAACTTACCTCCATTCTGTGTAATATATCGTACCCAGGGTAACGCTTGATACCCACTTTTCTCAACAATCTTTAGATACCGCACTTGAATTCCTGATGTGGTAAAATAGGGGATTTCAAATTTTACTCCGATCGGTGGTTTCTTCTCAGGATCTTCGACTATTTTTGGACATATATATGCATGTAATCGAGATATAAGTAAACAATGCTTAAAAATTTGTAAGCAAAATAATACTATCTAAATATCCAAGTATTTAATGATAAATAAATTGATTGCTACTTGCCATTTTTCACCGACGGTAACCCAAAATGAGCCCGCATCGTGAAATCCTTGCCACCTTGAAACTGCTTGATTTTCCATACGATGGCTGATTTTTCAGGAGCATAGTGTACCGAACCAATACTATTCTGTCCCCAAAAATAACAAGAGATAGACATACATTTACATATGTAAACTTCTTTAGTTCCTTGGATGCAAGCCACCACCAATCAAAATCTCCAGCAAAAACAATTACCCCGAACTTCGGCGTGTCAGCATCGTCAGGCACTGGAACATAAATCTCGACGTTATTGGCGGTTGATCGTCGTTTGAATTGTGCTTTTGCTTTTATTGTGTATTCAATTCTTGAGCCGGTGTAATTTTCTACTTGGGCTTCCACCCAGATTAAAGGTTTGACCTGTTGTGTTTACGACACATAAGAACAACGTCGATCAAATTTTTCGGGTAAAAAGGAAAAACACACGTCTTCAACAACAAACCTGTGTATTCAACCGATAACTCATCAACTCAAATCCACCATCGGGAGGAATGAACGAAATGGTACGATCATTCTCGAACCGAGATAATCGTACGCATTGATGGAACTTTACATCTTCCATCTCGATCGCTTTGCCTCTGGTCGGCGAACGACCTGTACTCTCAAACATCACTTTATCATTCAATCCGAGTCGTAATTCCGGCATCCCGGTAAGATAGCATTTCATTTTTATCACGCCAAGAATCTCACTTCGTAACACGTTCCCGTTGGCATTCACGAGCAGATTCACCGATTCTATCACATCGAGAAATACTTCGTTTTTACGATATTTGATGTTTTCTGAACGCCATGATACTGCGTTTGTAACGGCCATTGGTGGACGTACTTGAATTTCTAATTTATGTGATTCTTGCGTTATGTATCTTTAAAAAGAAACAAAGACCACGAATTAAAATCTTTTTATATGATTCATTCATTATAATATTTTTCATATAACAAAAATAATAAAAGTAAAAAATTTAACATCAACAAAAACATTAAGCATACATACTCTTGCAAGATCTTAGTTTCTGTAGTCTGCGGATACCCGAAATCCATCATCTCATCCAACAATTCATAAATAATCACGAAATTATCACGAATCGATTCTTCCTCGAGCTCCTTAAAATATTCTGTAAAGACCTTATATTTTTATCGTAGTAAGATTGCCAATATAGACGTGAACACGAATGATTATTACCTCATTTCACATTTAGCTAAATTGAAGATTTATATATATGTCACCTCTGTTAATTTGTGAAGAAATAGTAGAATTGTGGTGGCGTTTGAATTTTTTTTGGTCAAAGCGAGCACTGTTTTCAATAAATGTAATAGATTGATTGTTGAGGACGCAAAGTAACGTAAGGATCTATGAATATCCTCCTTTTTCTTTTTAAAAAAGATTAGGTATAGTTGCTTCGATATTACTTCGAAATATCAATCATGCATCTTTGTTGTTAGCGATTCTTCGTCTTTCTCTTTATTCATACAAGCTCTCACAAAAAGGATACAATACAGATTGTTATGCCGGATATACAAATAGTTAATGCCTTCGTGCGTAAAGCAAGGCGTTGGAGCTTGTTGTTCCTCTTCAGCTTCCAGCACAAGAGGCATAAATTTCTCAACTGCAGACATTGGTATGTCCCCTCGATAGTTTCGAGAAATGAGGACCTTGCCTTTCAGATCTAGAACAAAGACCGCTGATGCCATTTGGATAGAAAGTGGAGAATTTGAAGAATCAAGAGAAATATATTTTATTCTCTGTGATCATCAATATTTTCGGGTTGTACCGGTAATTCCATTTAAATTATTATTAGTCATATTTTTATCACGGTTTATTAAGTTAAACAATGCTAATGCTTAAATATTTAAGATCAATATACAAGTCATTGATTTTTTTCCCGCCACATTTACTCCAAATCCATACCACTTCCCCCTACAACAAATCCATTAGTCGTTACACTACCACCAGTATTCCCACTCGGCACCGCAATTGCCCCATTCCTATTCACAGCGGAAGTATTTCGCACCAGCGGCATCTTTGTCTGAGAATGGATCCAGCCCATCTCCACGAAAAAATCATAAATACGACTAGTCTTATTCACGTCAATCTTTATAAGTTCTCTGGCTTCACGTCGTTTCAAGCGAAAATCGCGTCGCGCATATTCTTTAAGTATAATTTCTTTGATGACCATGTACGGTTTTGGAAATATACGCAGATGAGAGCAGAGTGTTCTTTCGGCTGGTGTGAGCATGTGAACACCTTCCGCATTGTCGAGATCTATTGGACTTGATTGTTTTCGTATTTGTCGTGAATTGTTGGTGTTGATGTTACTGTTATTGTTGTTAGCGTGATGCTGAATCAATAGGAAAACAAAAGTAAGTATATAAAGGTTCAAAGAAGATATTAAGGACAGTATCTTATCAATTCGAACCGGAGGTATTCTGGCTGCATATTGTGCAGCCAAACGATCACTACTTGCACCGATGATGATGCGAGTTGGCGGGTCTCGTGTTGCCTCTTGCTATATTAAATTCATCGCGTCAATAAAAGAATTTTTTTATCGGAAAGAAAAACCGTTTAGAGTAATCGAGTACAAATAAAGGTGAAACTCACCTCTTGTAATTTATTAGCTTGGTATTTTTCACCTTCTTTTATTGTGGTGATACCATGACGTCGCCATTCTTGTAACTTTGAAATTTCCTCGCGTATTCTAAACTCTCCTATTAAATTGATATTAATTAAGTAAAACTCTAGTATCCATAAGATGATCAGACAATTTTACTTGACATCGATGATATATACAAAACTTACTTAACATCCCTTCAACAAACGTCTCATGATCAGTCTTATTCATCAATTTCGCAAAAACTTTAAGTTTCGAATGAAACTTACGTTCTTTGTCTTGTAATATTTTATCCCCCAAAATAGCGGCACCCGTCGTCGAAGAAGTAGAGGCAGCAATGGCACTACTGGTGACGGATTTCTTTTCGTTTTTTTCAAAAGCTTTCTCTTTCTTTAAGGAACGAGACGGAATGGAAGGGTAGATGCAATAGGATTTTATCACAATAGTTGAGTAATTAATAATGCACACAATCAATTATCAATAGCACAACAAATATATATATATGGATGTGTCTATATCCACTTTTTTAAGGTCGACTAGCCCGTGCTCGAATATTAGTCGTTTCTTTTCGGTGCGTCGATCGAGTTTTTTGTTGTATATTTTCAGCATTGATAATTTTAGTTCGACTATTTGTTAATACAAGGAAATGAATTAGGTAATGTCAAATAAAAAAATAAATAAGTATCTAAAGAACCCTAATACCTTCTGCCGCCGGCATTTCATTGTCAAATTCTAGTTCTTTAATGAGCTGCTCAGCATCATTGTCAATTTCTGTCTCAAATTCTTTACGTTTTGGCATGTACCCTTGAATCTCGTGGTTCGCTGGTAAACTCTGCAAAGGCTATATTTATATAAAACATAAAGATCAGAAACTAATTTTTTTGCGGAGGTTAAAAATAAAGACGCGGTAGAGATCCCAAACCTTTGCATGAGTTTTAGATTTTACTTAAAATCAACGATAAAATTTTATTTATTAAGTAAATCAAAACAAAAAAAATCGCGCAAAGATAGGTAGATAAATAATAAAATGACTCACTAGGTGGTAATTGCTGTATAGATTCCATTCTTCGACGCTTTCTTTCTCGCATATCTCTCTCATCAACATTTTCGAACTTCTTTTCCATACTCTACACAAAAATTAATTCATCATTGTATGTATACATGAGAAACCCGATAAAGGCACTATTGATGATCTACTAAAAAATGACAAATACATACGGGAATAAAATTTTTTGCACTAAGATACACATCTAAATAATGTCGTTCGCATTCTTCCCTTGTCCTGCTGCCAACATAAGCTGCGATATCACCCCAATTGCCCAATCCGTGAGTTTGAGCACCTTCGATCAATAGTTCTTCTTCATCGGCACACCAATCCGGTGTGAATATTGGAAAGGTGAATTGATCCTAATCGTTTATAATGAATTCACATGATTAGATTCGATGAAAAATGACAAGATTTTAATATGACTAATAGATCTATTTATATGTATAATTGCGAAACTATAGGGTATTCAGTCAAATGAAACCATAATTCTTCCATAGTTTCAACGAATGCTACTAATTCTTCACATCAATCGAGGAGACAATAAATAACAGTTAACAAAATTGCTCACCATAACTCGGTATTTGTGAAAGTTTTTGTGGTCTTCCACCTCTTTTCCAGCACAAAAGCAAGTCACGCATAAATCAAATTGTGGACATTCTGCACAGTTTATTCGAACCGTGTTGCCAATCATGGCTTGACAATTTTTGCATCGGTACATTTTTGTAGAGGGTAGAAAAAACAAAAAAGTCTATGTACTTTGACGATCAACTCGTAGACAAACACACACATGGCAAACTTTCACGTGATTAAAGCATAAATCTATTGTGCATTTTTCAAATCTACGACTTTATAAATGGGTAATCTCTCAAAACCAACACGTTCGCTTAACCCGCTGGGGGTCGCCGGGCTCTTTGAGCCTAGTCCGTTTCTCGACCACCTAGTCAAATTTCTTGGAACTGTTTCTGGGACTGATAAAGTTTTCATGGTGAGTTTGCTAACTTTCGAGAATTTCGCTATTAAGTTTCCTCCTTAGGCTTGGCAAAATGGAATTTTATTACATTAACGTTTATTAAATGTATTTCAACCAACGCTTTATATTTATTTATAGTTTGTCCAATACTACTCTAAAATTGTAACATGGTTCCTGTTACGTGTAGGTAAAAAAATTGCAGCTGAACAAATCACAAATCTAGCTACTCCAATTTCCGATTTTCGAATATTACTTCGGTAATGGTTCATTACAATTTTTATCAAAGATAAAAATGTCGATTAACTAATTATCCAAAGTTCAATAAAATTTTTTTATATTGATGGTCTAATCTAATTAATACTAATTCTATACAGTTATTATGGTCTCCTACCACTAATTCAATGGATGATCCACATCGAGCACAACCCACCTCCCACGCGTTACTTACTCACAATAGAACGTCTACAAAACTTCGCAAATATTCTCTACTACCCACTCGAACACATGTGGTGGCTCGGCCAACATAAAGTGATCCCACTCGCGGATACAACAATGAATCGGATTGGGCTATGGAGTTGTCGGTTTTGGGCGATTTATGTGATACTGCAATTCTTACATTTGTATGAGGAATGGAAATTGTTAAAGCGGCGTCGTAATGAGATTGCCAGAAAAGCGGTGACGAGTTCATCGTCGTCGTCGAGTTCAGATAGTGCTGAGATTGAGATGGAGCAAAAGGCGCTGAGAGTTAATGAAGAAGAGATTATACGAAATGCGATTGTTAATGTTGGGTATCTCCCGTTGACAGTACGTAAAACCTTTTTGTTTTATTGCCATTTTTTTATTCATTTAATAAACGATATTGTTATTTGCAGCTTCATTGGTCGATCGAGAACTCTTCATTCCCAGATATCGGTGTTGGCATTTTTGGAACTCTTGCTGCAATCTATCAATTCATAGCTGTGTGGAAAAGCACTGGATAAAATTTTTATTTATTTAAATATCTTTTTTTGTTAAGTGAATTCAATACATTTCGAACGATTACAATCGAATCCTTGTTTTATACAAAGCACGTGATATTGTGATATTAAAATACTACGTTCAAAAAGTCGTTATATCAAGTAGGATTTATCATACAGAGAAACCTCCCTAAATGCACCTCGGGATCATAGTAAAAAAAGACAGAATGTGGATTTAGGGAAGGTGTGAGCTTACGGAGAGCAAAATACATAGAGCTCCTATAAGTTGGATCCAAGCCATGCCGTGCATTTAAGGTGCATTTCGTGAGATTTCTCTGTATGAGGTTCTGGATCTCAATTTGTTATATTGATATTTTAATTTGTTAGTTATATCGAATACACGTTATATCGAGTTTCACGACATCCTCGTTATAACGACCAAATCCTCCACCATGTCGATATAACGAGAGTCGCTTAGTATTACAGTCAAAGCTTGATCTAGTGATGAGGTGATTTAACGAGATTGACCAAATACAAACAAAATAAAAGTTCCCTGTTCAGTATATATTTAAAATTAGTTTAATTCATTGAGAATTAATAATCTCTCGATTTAATATGTACTGAGATAAATTATCTCTCTGAATTTAGCGATTTTTTTGAGTACTTTTTTTTGATTATGTGAATTATGCAGATCTTATCTAATAATAAAAAGCAGGATTATAGCCAGACGAGGATCTTTCCATCGGCTAGCAGTTGTTTACTCGAATCAGAATTTATCTGATCATATTTTTCCAGATATTTATAATAACAATATATAGCAGACTTTTTCAAATCAAGTATCTAGAGAAGAGAAACTTTTTTAGATCTTTCTTCCAATAATTAATACAAAATATTTGGATAATAGAAGATATATTAAGTAATAAAAAATTGAAAATAATACAATTATATATTTATATATTTGATCAAATTTCAATATTTCTGAAAATTAATACTCAAATTTTAAGACTGATTAATGAAAACCATTTATTTTGATTTACTATTATATTTAAAAAGAATTAATGATATTTTGACATTGTTTTAATTGAAATGGAGTTGATTCTTTGATACTTATAAAAGAAACTATGTATTTGAATATTTATATTAATATTTTTACAAAATATTTTGTATTTTGAACTTATTAATATTTAAATATTATATGTTATCATATAGTCAAATCTTTTTATAATTATTATACTTGAAAAAGCAAATTGAATGATTATAAAGATGTGATTATAGTTAATTAATAATTAAAAAACTCAAAAAGAGAATATAATTATAAAGAGATATAATTATAAAAAGATATAATAAATATTAATTTATAATGTTCAAGTTTTAGATTAAGTTGATTAAAATTCTGATCTTAATCTAATTAAAGTATCTGTAAGATATTTAAATCATCAAATTTAAAAAAAATATTATTTATAATAAAGTAAGAAATAATTAATATATTATATAAAAAATAAATTAATATTAATTTAAATATCTTATATAATTTAATTTTAAATTTATATATACAGTGGCGACCAAAAGTAATGACTCAGAGACTAAATTTACTAATAAAACATAGTAAAAATTAAAATTTTCTCTCTATATTAAAATTTATAATTTTAATAAGAAATAATTTTTATTTTTATATTAAA